AGGGAGGCTTGGGTGAGGGGGATGCATTGTTGGGATGTGCCCTAAAGGCAGGGTTGGAGGGTCCACTGACAGGGAAATCCAGAGCTTGGTCCTCCCCAGCCCCACTCCCTTGTCTTCTGCCCCTCTGGACCCTCCCCCGTCCAAGCCCCCAGGCCTCCCCTGCAGTCACGCCAGCACGGGGAAGAAGCAGCAGCAGCTGCGGGTCCTTGCAGCAGATGGACCAGGGGCTGTCAGGGGAGGGGCAAGGGGCCCCTGCCGGGCCAGGGCCGGAGGAACACTCCACTCTGGCAAGTCCAGACCCCTGGCTCCCTGGCGCCAGCCCTCCTGTAGGGCCCATGTCACCACCAGACGCCCCACATGAATGTCACTCTGAGTGTACAAGCTCTGCTTCCCTCCCAAACCACTTCCTCCCTGTGGGCACTTGTGCCATTGTCCCAGGCTTCAGGGCCTAGGACAGTTGTCCCTCTGCCTGACCTTCAAACCACTGCATCATGAACTAAAAGGGCCCCCAGAGGACAAGCTCCCCGGCCTATAGACATGTTTCGTCTGGCCTTCCGAGTGAATTCAAAATTCAATTTTGCAATTTTGGAAAACCAGACATTTTCACACAAAAATCAGATTTCCGGCTTTACCTGAAACATGAGGAGACCCAGCCCCACGGGGTCTACTCCCCATGCCTACTCCCCCAAACCAAGCACATGCTCTGCAGCCTCCCAGCCCATGTTTGCTCGGCCACAACCCCCCGACCCCGATTATAGGCATTTACCCACCTCTCTCATCCTGATCTGGCCAAAGGCTCCTCTGTGCGGCTGGGGGCTGATCCGGAAGCCCAGGTTTGGAGAGCCTCCTTCCCCCTGCCTGACAGTGAATTATTACAGAACAGGTCTAGCACCAAGGGTCTAGTGCTCTTCAGCACAGAGTTTGAGCAAGTGTCTGGTTTGTCTCTGCCACCCCTGAGGGCCCAGCTCAGAGCCCTCACAGAGGAGGCTTGTTTAGTGCTGGCTCCTGAAAGGCAGACAATACCGGGAGCCAGAGGAGAGGAACAAAGCTCAGAGGAGGGTCACTATGCCCCTCAAGGAGGTCAAGGAAGAGGCATGGTTAGTGAGGGCCTCTTGAGGTAATAATAGTGACTAACAGTTATTGAGCACTAACTATGTACCAGGCACTGTGCTGGTCGAGACCACATTTAGTCCTCACAACAACCCTATGAGATACGTACTATCAGCAATCCCATTTTATAGGTGGGGAAACTGAGGCACAGAGAAGTCAGATACCTTGCTCCCGGTCAACTAGTAAGGACTGGAGACAAGGTCCAAAGCCAGGCGGCCTAATTCCAAGGTCTGCCCAGTTAACTCCTGCGTATTGAGTGCCAGGCCTACACGTGGGGCATTTCCCACACAGAATCTCATTTCTGTGAGATGGTTTATCTATGCCCATTGGACAGAAAAGGAAATGGAGGCCAAGAGGTGAAGTCATTTGCCCAGTCAGTACTCTTCTCCCTAAAGGCCCTAAGAGAACATGCTTTGGGGGGTGTAGACCAGCCTGGGAGGCGGGAGGGCGGTGCCAGCCAACTCCCTCCCCTCTCCCCTGCAGGCCCTGGGCTGGTCCTTCGTGCTGCTGACCACACTGCTGGCATTCGTTGTGCGCTCTGTGCGGCCCTGCTTCACACAGGCTGCCTTCCTCAAAAGCAAGTACTGGTCCCACTATATCGACATTGAGCGCAAGCTCTTCGATGAGACATGCACAGAGCATGCCAAGGCCTTCGCCAAGGTCTGCATCCAGCAGTTCTTCGAGGCCGTGAACCATGACCTGGAGTTGGGTCACGCCCACGGGGCACTGGCCACGGCCCCTGCTGGCTCGGCTGCCCCGGTGGCCACGGATGGGGCTGAGGAGGAGAGGGAGAAGCTGCACGGCATCACAGATCAAAGCACCATGAACAGGCTGCTCACGAGCTGGCACAAATGCAAGCCGCCCTTGCGGCTGGGCCAGGAGGAGCCCCTGATGGGCAATGGCTGGGTGGGGGGCGGGCCCCGGGCTCCACGCAAGGAGGTGGCCACCTACTTCAGCAGAGTGTGAGCTGTGGCCAAGTGAAGAGGCAGGAATGGGGGTCTGAGCCCACGGCCTCTCAGACGCCCCCAAACCAGATGGAAAAATGAAGCCTGCCGGTGCTGAGTGGTAGGCCCCTGGGACAGACCCACATGCCCAGGCATTCACCTGCCCATTGAGGCAGGAAATTTGGAGCTGGAAGGGGATATCAATCCCCCAGCTGGGACACAGCAGTATTAGAAAGGTTCAGAACTGGTTGGGGTGGACAAGCTCCCACCTGCCCAGCCCCACCCCAGCCACTTCATCCCTGCTTCACTGTCTCCTCTCGGGTCCTACAGCCACCCTCACTGTGAATTTTTATGATCTCTGTTCCCCTGTGCTCAAGACTCAGGGCGTGGGAGGGCATCTGGCTGTCTCACAAAGCAGGAATCCTCTGATTTGGGTCCATCTCCCAAATGAGGCTGCGAGTGGGCTGTGAGGACATGGCCCGCAGCCTCACCTGATGTAACACAACTGCAGTGACAGGAAAGGAGACAAAATGCCGGAAGTTAGGTCTCCTTGGGAGAAGCCAGAGCGTGTGGTCACCATGGAAGCCACTCAACACTTGTCAAGTGGATTGTCCATTTATTTAGTCCCGAGCACAAAAGTCTTCCTGTCCTAGCCATGTGAGCTGCTCCAACAAAATACCATAGACTGAGCTGCTTAGAAACAACAGAACTTTACTTCTCCCAGTTCTGGAGGCTGGAAGTCCAAAATCATGGCCCTTGCATGGTCACGTCCTGATGGAGGCCCTTTTTCTTGTTCAAAGCCGGGGCCTTGTCGCTGTGTCTCCACAGGTAGAAGGGGCAGGGGAACGCCCTGGAGCCTCTTTTCCAGGCACTGATCCCATTCATGAGGCTCTGCCCTCCTGACTTAAGCACCTCCCAAAGGCCCCACCCCCTCATATCATCCCCTTGGGGAGTTAAGATTTGGCACATGAATTTGGGGGGACACATTCAGACCATACCACCCTCCCTTGGAGGGCTCCTTGGAGACCACCTGAATGCCTCCTTCACATCCAAGTCTCAGGGGGAAATCAGACCTCCCCAGAGCTTGGGCATTTAGAAAAGAAGCTGATATCTTCCCATTTTCTCAAAACCCTACCCCTGGGGAGGGGGCTCCCGAGTGCTAAGAGGCTTTGGCCTGAGCTAGGAATGAGGGTGGAGGGGTGGTGGGGGGAAGCTGCCTAGAGTAGAAACAGCTCAGACTCCAGAGTGAGAGAGAACTGGAACAAATGCTGGCTCTACCACTTACAGTGTCCCTCAGGCCAGTTGCTTCCTTTTCTGTGCCTCAGTTTCCTTATCTGTACAATGGGGATGAGGGCACCTACCTGATGGGGTTGTTGTAATCAGGAAACAGGTGAAGCAAGTAAAGCTCATGGGCCAGAACAGGCACTAGGTACACGGCGGCTAATGTGTTTGTAGATTCCTGAACCCGAGTGCTTATCCCCCTCCCCTGTACAGAAGGGGAGGGCGACATGAGGAACTGGAGCCACCTTGTCGAGGAGGGAATTGAGGGCCAAGAAGATGTAAGTCCCACTCATCTAAGAATTCGTTTTGATCTTGATCCCTGCAACATTGCTTTAATGATTTCCCTTCTTCCCATCCATTCCCACTTCTGAGACCCGGTCTGCGTTCATTATTCGGGAGCCCTGTAGGCCCAGGAGGCTGGAGGAGGCTGGAGGGCTCCTCTGGGAGTGGGACTTCATCTAGGCCCCGAATGCAGACAGGTTTTGAAGGAGTAGAGACCAGGTCTGTGTTGGTGGGTGGGGAGGGGCTTCCAGTGGGAAAAGCCAGCGCAGAATAGCGGGAGGTACAAATGTCAAGGAAAGAGCAAAGCTTTGAGTCAGGCAGATTGGGGTTCAAGAACTAGAGCTGTAAGACCTCACCAGATCCCTCCAAACCTCAGTGTGTCTATCTGTAAAATAGATCTTAAAAGGACCTACTTTTCAGAATTATGGTGAGAATAAAGGAGGGTAACTTTGGAGGAAGAATCTGGAGTGGTGTTTGGCACATGGTAGGATCTGAATAATAAACACTGGTCCTTTCCCTTCATTCATGCCCATGACAAGCACAGCTCAGGGAGGCCAGCATGGCACTCAGTACTTCCACGGTCCTAGGACCACAAGCATTGCAAAGCTGACAGGAGGCTGGGGGGTCTCTCCCTTAATCGTAGGGGTCATCTAGCCTGTCCTTGGACAGGGCTCTCCCCTTTAGCATTCTTGACCCATGACTTTTCAGCCTCAGCTTACACACTCCCACGGATGGGGAGATTATGACCACTTTCTGGGACAGGCTGGGCAGCTCTGATGGTAACAAAGGGGTTCTTTTAGCAACCACCTGCCTTCTTGTAATTTCTACCCACCACCCAGAGCTCTGCCCACAGGGCCTCAGGATCCCTTACCAGCCCTCCTGAGATTTGAAGCAGTACCTGGGGAGTCAGGTGAAGTATGGACAGAAGAGCTGATGTGGGAGGAGGACTGGCAGGGGCAGGATGGCTCTGAGGGAGAAGAGCCAGAATAAGGTGGGGAGGCCCTGGCCTGTGCATCCTGCTAGGGCTCAGCCTTGGTCTGACCGGCAGGACCCTCCCCTCCAACCCTGCTGGGGTCCAGTGAGAGTCAAGCATGGGGAGTGCTCCTGAAACTGGCAGGGAGGGCAGGCCCAGGCAGGATGTCCTAGCCGCCGTGTACCCCTGCCTGGCCCCCCAAACTGGTCCCACAGGTGCGCAGGCCGCTGGGGCAGCTGGCTCGGGAGGTCAGGCACGGGCTGGCGCCCCCGCTGAACAGGCAGCCCAACTTCCTCTCCTCTTGCACCGCCCTCACTGCCCGCCCTCCCCTGCCTGGCGCCGGAGGGAGGCTGTTTTTCCACTCCCCGCGCCGCTGCACGAGTCCCATCCTGCTTGTTTCCTCTGCTTCCCTGGAGTTTAAAACTTCTTTGAAAACACCCCCAACCCCAGGCCTTGCCGGTCTCTGGCTCCCTGCTCCGGTGCAGAAGAAAGGACAAGGGAGGCCGCGGAGGGCACCGCCGGCAGCACTGGGGGGGCCCACCCTGCAGGCCCGCACCCCGCCGAGGCTGGAGCCCCTGGTTGGCGCTGCAGCTGGCCCCAGGTAAGGAAGGGCCCCTCGCTGGGGCGTGCCAGGTGACAGGGAGAGCATGGCAGGACTGCTCAAGGCTGCCCAGAGGGATTGTCCTGGGGAGAAAGGCCCCTCACTGAGGCTCCTCACTCTGGGCAAGGCCAGTGGTGCCCCCCCCCCCAGCCTGTCCTGTCTTCTGTCCCGACTGCGGTTGTTGGAGGTCCCACCCAGGCTCGGATGCAACCCCTCCCTGGCTTTCGGGACAGGGCCAGTAGTCTCAGAAGATGGCCTGGTCCCTCCTCTGCTCACCACCCTCTGTGTGCAGATATCTCGTACCCCATTTTGGGCAGTTTATGAACCCAGGGCCCCGCGAAAGCTCATGAGAAGCCCTGAAGCCAAGAGGGGAAGAGGAAGAGAGGAGCCTGCCTTTAACCCATTCAGCCTTGGCAACAGTACAAACTCTTTCCCAGGGACTGGGATGGAGCCCCTGGGCTGGGAGTGGGAGGAAGAGTCAGATCCCTCCTCCTCCTGGCTCCCCACGTGGTCACCAAGCTCTGCCGGGCCCATCTGGCAGAGACTGGGAGGGGTGCTGGCGTAGGGAAGAGGCACAGAAGGGAATATGGCAGGTCTCCCCTCCTCTGTTTGCTGCTCACCCTATCCCTCCATTCCCTGGCTTCTTCTGGCTGCGGACTTTTGTTTTTCATCCCCCAGATGGGGAGGACATGGGCCACACCCTGGCCTGTGTCTCTGCTTGTGTGGGTGGGGCCTAGAAAGGGCTCTCAAAGCTTGGCCACTTCCTGGCACCGCTGCAGCCCAGACCATGGCCGGGCAGGCTGGGGATGGGCTGGTGGGGATGGTCGAGCCTTAGCCTCCATTCCCTGTCACTGGGAGGCTGCTAGATAGGGAAGGGGGAATGGGTGGGGAAGGGAACGGTCACCAGGGCTCTCATGGATGAGCACAGAGCAAGGGTAGGAGACCAGGAAAACAGAGGACTCACTTGGCTCGACCCACCCTTGTCCGCTTCCCAAGCCTCAAGTCGGGCTCAAAAGTCCTGCCCAGACACCTCCGTACTGTCATGGCCTCAAGCGAGGCACGTTCTCCTCTTCAGGCCTTAGTTTCCTGATCTTGGCAGGAAGGAGACTCGTCCCCACTGCCTCACCTCTGGGAGCCACCCTAAAGCCTTGGCAGGGTGAAATGGAGGGTCTCAGGCATCGTTTCTCCCCTTTCTTTTCCCGCCAGCATCCCTACGGGGAGACCAGGGGCCAGAATGATTTATCCTCTTTTCACAGATGAGGACACAGACCCAGAGAAAAGTCATGAAGTATGTTGAGAGCCAGGATCTCCTAAACCAGTCCGGACTCTGAGGTCTCCAGAATGAAAAGTTCTCATGAACTCCAGGGACACTGTGCCTCGCTCGGCACTGACCAAAGCCGCCTTCCTCCACCCCACCCTATCTCTGAGTCAAACCCAAGACCCTTATCTCCCAGGATACCCCCTCCAGCTGTGATGCCCATGGGCTAGAGGCCTGGGGGACAACAGCCCCCAAATAGTCCTAGGTCCCTCAGCGCTCTAGCACTACCTGGAGCCCCACATTCCCCAGTGCCACAGGGCCATCCTTTTTTTTTTTGCCACAGGGCCATCCTTAATCCCGGCTTCAAGGGAAACTTGCGGGAATAACAAGAACCCAAGTGCCTGAGGCAGACAGATCTGAGCCTGAATCTCAGCTCTGCCCTGCCACTTATATGTGCCCCTGGCAAACCCCTCAGCTCCAGGAAGCCTCCACCTCGTCTGTGCACAATGGGGACATGTCAGCTCCATGCGGGACCATGACGATGGGCAATCAGGGATAGAAATCACCTGACACCCAGTGGGAGCTCAGTGAGCCGTGGCCACCACGTCCCCTAGGCCCCAGGGCTCCCCAAGTCTCCTCCTTTCTCACTAGCCTGGCCATACAGGACCCCCTCGATTCCTTTCAGTTTTCAGAGACCAATGTTTATCACTCGTCTACTATTCCACAGGAAGCACCAGACTGGCCACTAGAGGGGATAAAATGGCAAGACGGTGCCCTGCCTTCAGATGCCCACCAGCCTGCACTCCTCCCTCCTAGTCCCTCAGGAACTGTCAATCCTGGTCCCCAACACCCTCCTGCTGACACGTCACCATGGCAGCCCTGATTGCAGAGAACTTCCGCTTCCTATCGCTCTTCTTCAAGAGCAAGGACGTGATGATTTTTAATGGGTTGGTGGCACTGGGCACAGTGGGCAGTCAGGAGCTGTTCTCCGTGGTGGCTTTCCACTGCCCTTGCTCACCCGCCCGGAACTACCTGTACGGGCTGACAGCCATCGGTGTGCCTGCCCTGGCACTCTTCCTCATCGGGGTCATCCTCACCAACCACACCTGGAACCTAGTTGCTGAGTGCCAGTACCGGAGGACCAAGAACTGCTCGGCCGCCCCCAACTTCCTCCTCCTCAGCTCCATCCTGGGCCGTGCAGCCGTGGCCCCCGTCACCTGGTCAGTCATCTCCCTGCTGCGTGGTGAGGCCTACGTCTGTGCTCTCAGCGAGTTTGTGGACCCCTCCTCCCTCACAGCCGGGGAGAAGGGCTTCCCACCAGCCCATGCCACAGAAATCCTGGCCAGGTTCCCTTGCGGGGAGGGCCCCGCCAACATGTCGGGCTTCCGGGAGGAGGTCACCCGCAGGCTCAAGTATGAGTCCCAGGTAAGGCTGTGCAAAGGGAAGCCACTCTTCTTTCTTTCCTAGGCTGTGGTGGGTGGGGAGGTACTGGGATGGTCTAGTGTTGAAGCTAGAGCTGGTCCTCAGGGGCTGAGGTCTTCAGGAAAGCACTAGATCATCAGCATCAGGTATCTGAGCTGGGTAACCTGTAGGTTAGGAGTTGGTGAGGCAAGTTTTAAACATTAAAGGAGTGCGCCTGGGTGGCTCAGATGGTTGGGCGTCTGCCTTCAGCTCAGGTCATGATCCCAGCGTCCTGGGATCGGGTCCCGCATCGGGCTCCCTGCTCCTTAGGAGCCTGCTTCTCCCTCTGCCTCTCTCTGTCTCTCATGAATAAATAGATAAATAAAATCTTAATTAATAAATAAATAAAAATAAACATTAAAGGAATGTTTTTCTGGCTCAGACTGAGCCTTGATCCCAGTCAGAGATTACGTCCCTATTTCTCCCAGATTGAGCACGAACCCCTGTAAGCTTATGAAACATTTGCCAGTCAGCTAGGAGTTGACATGTTCCTATCCCCAGAAGGACCCCAGCCCAGCACCAAGTCAGCCCCAGGTGTTGCTGACATCGGGGAGTCCCCTGAGCGAGGACGGGGTGCTGAGTTAGGAAGCAGCGCCTGCGGCCCTGATCCCAGCCTCAGCTGTGGCTCACTTCTGAAGGAAGACAGCTCAGTCAGGGCAGAGACCTGGGCAGAACACACAGCTGCAGGTGTTCGCTCAGAGCAGCAGAGCATGAGGGAGACAGGAAAGAGCACAAGATTGGCTAAAAAACAAAAATGAAAACCAGAGCACGTGAATTCAAGGGAGCGAGGACGAAGTGGAATCAGCCGGAAGGGCGGGCTTCCCTCATCGAAGGAGAATCTGCTCTCGGGAGGTGTGCGGCCCAGGGTCAGCCCAGCCCAAGCCCTCTGACCAGCTCGTCCGACTTCTTCCTGGGGCGGGTGAGGGTCCAGGCAGCTCCTTGCCCCTCCTCAAACCTGCCCCTTCTCTGGCCAGCTCTTCGGGTGGCTGCTCATCGGCGTGGTGGCCATCCTGGTGTTCCTGACCAAGTGCCTCAAGCATTACTGCTCGCCACTCAGCTACCGCCAGGAGGCCTACTGGGCGCAGTACCGCACCAACGAGGACCGGCTCTTCCAGCGCACAGCGGAGGTGCACTCACGGGTGCTGGCTGCCCACAACGTGCGCCGCTTCTTTGGCTTTGTGGCGCTCGACAAGGACGACGAGGAGCTGGTTGCCAGGTTCCCGGTAGAGGGCACACAGCCTCGGCCACAGTGGAATGCCATCACCGGCGTCTATTTGTACCGCGAGAACCAGGGCCTCCCGCTCTACAGCCGCCTGCACAAGTGGGCCCAGGGTCTGGCAGGCAACGGGACAGTGCCCGAGACCGTGGAGATGGCCCCGCTCACCTTCTAGGGGTCCTATTCCCACACTTTGCAAGTGACGGTACTTGGTCTCAAACTGAACTCCACTGCCTGCTCACATCAGCATCAGAAGGGGATGATTTTTTCACTTTTTGGGGAAACAGGCCAGGAGCAAAAGGAGCCTGGGGCGTGGAGAGAGCTAGTAGACAATGGGGTCCACTCCGACAGGAAGGCTCTCAGACCAAAGAAATCCCCTCTCCCTCTGCCACCAACCACTCCGTCAACAGCTTTGGAGAAAAGACCCTTTCGCAGAACTGGTCTTTCATTAACTATGATGTGGACGACCTTTTACTGGTGGGACTCCAAGGCCTGGGAAGCCCTGGCCAGTAGAGCCAGGTGACAGTGAAACTCACCACTTTGGGCACTTTTGAACCTCGTACAGGATATTGTACGAATCCAGACGCCTCGTACAGGATATTGGGCAGTTAACATATGGCGTGACTCATATGGTTACCTGGCTCAGCAGTGCTCAGCCAGGAGATGCCCTCCAATGTATGCTTTATTTTATATACTTAAATTTTTGATAAAGTTCTTCTGAGTATGAAGGACTACCTTGGTGTCTGCATGATTGGATGGGCTATGCCGCAGTAGGCTAGTGGTCATGAAGACGGGCCCAAATCCCATCCCCTGTGGGAGGGAGGGAGGGAGGGAGGGGGGAACAGAGAGACCCTGGGCACGATTAAAATGGATGGGAGGGAGGACAGGAGTACAGGGAATGCCAGGTGTTGGGAAGGCCCTACAGCTGATGATGTCTTGACAATTAGATTCAATTATCTGATTTGATCTGAGGAACAGGTGAAGCCTGGCCTTTCTCACTGGGAAGACTGGCTTAAATTTCATGAGTCAGAAGATCCCGCACACAAGTAGGGCAGACTAGCTCCTATAACCTAGGGCTAATGCCCAAAAACCAGGACAGCCCCAGCTATGCCTCTCCCCCGACCCACACACGCCCGCCCTTGCCTGATCACCTCCACCACCCCTAAAACCTCTGATGCTCTCCCTTGTCTCTGTCCTGCTTCCCAGCATCGGACCCAGTCACTTCCCACGGAAAAGCTCTCTGCCAGAGAAAACATTTAATCCCCTTAAGACCAAGCCAAACAAGAACTGGCTTCAACAACTTGCTGGGTCTGCGCTGGTGTCCAAGAATTCTGAAACATACGGGATTATTATGTATCAAAGGAGGTGGAGACCATCTTTCTAGGAAGTTTACAAGGGTCACAGGGAGGTGTGGGTGTGGTGGGCCCAACATGTCCCCTTTCCCTCAAGTCTCAAGGAAAACCATGAAGCCAATCAATGCCCTCCACCCAGCAACCTCTCCGCACAGGAGCTACAAGGAGAAACTGTGAGGCTCTCCCCAGTTCACACAGCACGGCAGTCTACGTCCCCACCGAGCCGCCTACCCGCCAGGCCGTGTGGCAGCACACAAACGTACACGCTCTTACTTCATCCACAAAACAACTCTTCAAGGTAGGACTTTCGGACCCCATTTCACAAATGAGACACCCAACTTGGAGAGCTTGGATAAACTGGGCCTGGTAGGCCTGGGAGGAAACACCACCGGGTGGTTTAAGCCAATACCTGTGGCTTCCCTCTCAGATGGCCGGGTTCCCCCACTGTCCTTTCCCCCAAAGGGGTCTGCCTCTGTCCTCCTGTCCCAGCCTCACGTACTCCACAGAGGAGCACAAGTACTAGCTGAGCTCAGGGTTGAGGGAATGCCCAGAGATTCCAAGACCTAGGGGAGGAGGCCTGCTCCCTGGGCCCTGCTGACCCCCTCTGGCTGGACCAAAAGCCTGCCAGGGCCAAAGGGGGATCCTGACCACAAGATTGTCAGGAGTCACCCCTCTATTCCTGCTCCCCCGGAAACTTCCAAGAGGGAGAGAGTCTTAGCTTTTCTAGGAGTCCGAGAGCCTGCTGTCTACAGCAGCCTCAGAAAAAGGGGAAATGGGCGCCTGGGTGTCTCAGTCAGTTAAGCATCCAACTCTTATTTCAGCTCAGGTCATGATCTCAGGGCCATGAGATCGAGCCCAGTGTCAGGCTCCGTTTTCAGCGATGAGTCTGCTTGAGATTCTCTCTCCCTCTGCCCCTCTGCCCCTCATGCATGCTTTCTCTCGTGCGCTCTAAAAAAGGGGGGAGGGGATGATATAAAGTAGTACTAAAACAAAACACGCAAAAAGGAATTATAGGAAAGCTCAAATTCTTTTTCATCCTGATAGGATTACCATAAAGGTGCTGCAGAAGAAGCAATACTTAAATAAGAGTCCTCAGGCAATATGGTTTTCCGGCTGCCCAGGCGCCTGAGATTCAGCTGGGCTGGCCTACTGCTGACAGTGGTCACCGGAGACAGTTAGCCACTAATCCTCCAACACGGAGCTCTTAGCTTCCACGTATTCCAGGGCCTTCGCCTTTACTGCCTGCACATCCTTCTCAGTGCCATGTTGTTTCTCATAGTCCAGGTAGCGCTTGAAGAAGAATTTCATTCGCTTGGGGGCCAGACTGAGATGAATGACCCGTTCAAAGATGTCCCTGTGAGGAAGAGCAAGGCAGCGTTTGCACCTTGGCGCCCAGGCCCTCGACGGCTGACTAGCCTTCAGCCACTTGCCCTCTGGCTCTGCAGCCAGGCCCTCTGTTCTCCAGCACTCTCACTTCTACCTTTACGTCTATTACCATTTTAAACTCCTAAGGTGTCTATGGGGAGAGAGACTGCCACCCTCACTTTCTAGATCAGACAGACACCCACGGGTGTTAAGAGGATTCACTGGCTTGAAGTCACACAGTGAGTCAGGACAAAGCTACTGGGATGGGGACACAGATGAGGTAGGGATCTGTGAGAAAAGTTCTGCTTCAAACTCACTGATGGGCTTGGGTGAGGCACTAGTTCTTTCTGGACCTCAGCTCACCCATCTCTGACCCTCCCTGCCCCGTGGGAATGTAGGCGACGACAGCAAGCCTGTGACCATTCTCTAGCACAAGAGCCAGGCTCAATGAATTATGTGGGAAACCCAAGCCTCCTGACCCCCACACCAGGGCCAGCCTCCCGCCCACCCAAGACTCCAGACACAGACCAGACGTTGGCCCCTGAGGCAGCAAAACAAGTCAGCAAGTAAATACCACAGGAGCTGATGTGTCATGTCAAAGCTGTTCTTCCAGACACGGTAAGAGAAACTGGGGATGCTGGAAGATGCTGTGGGGCTAAAAACTCATCCACTTGGCCAACATCCCCAACCTCCCACAGTTACTGCAGCCCTGGCCTGTCTTGCCCTCTCACCGGACTTCCTTCTGGCTGCCATGCTTAATGGTCATGTCTATGTAAACCGACCAGACATCAGTGCGCTTTGGGTAGGTGCTCAGTGTGTTCTCAAAAATGGCTTTGGCCCGTTCCGCATCCCCCAGCTGGAACTCCAGCTGGGCAAACTTGGCAATCACATCCACATCTGCAGGGAGAGAACAGGTCAGACGCACAAAGCAGAGAGACCCCTCACCACAGCATAATGTGCTGCATGGACAGACTGACTCCCGACTCCCTACTCATAGGTTCCAAGACCTGGGTGATGACAAGTGAACACTGGGAAGGTTTGGGGCCAGATATACAGATGGGCACTGATCTATGATTCCCACTGCAGACATCCCACTCTCTGGGCCCAGAAGGGAGAGGGGGCAGCGGCAACAAAATTAGTGCTAATTGTTTTTTGTTCCTCCATCTTTGAAGTTTAGCATCTGAAATGCAACACATGTTATGTTCATGAGCATATAATCAACAGAGACATCCATGCCCTCCACTAGGCTTTCCTAATATAATACCACACCACCCTCAGATGAGAAAATCTCCAATCCCTAGATATCAGAGAGCTTAATGTGATCAGGAATCGGGCCAAAGGGTAGGGATGAGCACTCACGCTCTTTATTGGGCAGACACTCGAGAGCTCGCTGCATCACACGGTGACTGGCCCCAGCCTGGCCCCTCCGCAGAAGAAAGGCGCCATATTTGATCCAGACAGCTTTCTCCTGCCTGAATCGCTTCAGCATCCGGTTGTAAAGTTCACCAGCTTCCTATGGGAAAGAAAAGGTAAGCTATGGAGTGTGATATGACAGAGCGGGCAACAACAGAGACAGAGGAGCAACGACAGAGACAGGCAGCTAGGCTCATGAGAAGCTAGACGTGGCCTCAGACTCCGGTCACTATGTAGGCGCAATTCTAGATGCCTGAGGAAAGCGGGCAGGCTCCCAGAAATGGGGAGAGCACACGAGGGGGCCTAACATGGTGGGGAGAGCCCCTACTAATCCTGTGCTGTACGGAGGTCCTAAGAGTACAAGAACATGAGAATGACAAGGGGAAACAGGAGAGACAGAAAAGGGACATCGGCTGAGCTGCTGCCTTGTGGCTGTACGCCCAAGGGATACACACCAGGGGTCCACTGTCCCTTTACTTTCCTCATCTTCACCCTGCATTCCTAAGGCAAAAGTGGGAGGAAAGGACTCCTCCCACTTCGAAGATCAACAAGTTAGGGCCCAGAGGTCACACAGCAAGCCTGCAGCAGGACCAGACCCAGAATAGGGGGATTCTTTCCTGGACTTCCCAGGAATTCATTTCCGAGCTGCCGAGGACCCTCTGGCCATGGGCCACCTGGCCCAGACTCCTACCTGGAATTTCTCGGACTTGGTATAGATGTCAGCCAGATGGAGAAAGACCTTGAGAGGCTCATTGTACTGCACGGCCCGCTCAAAGACCTTGGTCAGTGACTCCTGAGAGCCGTACATGTTCTCTAGATTCAGCAGTGCCACCCACACGTTCAGCTTCTCTTGCTCCTCTCTGGGGGGAGAGGGAGCATGTGAGCTCCATCACCTCAGCCCAAGGAAGCCCCCACTACCACCCAGGGATGCCAACTGGAACTACTTCTCAGTTCCCACCCTCAAGTGAGCCATGGAGCGGCCTGGCCCCCACTGCAGCTCACAGAGAAGCAGGAATGCCAGCCTGACGCTGCGCCTCCCCGGGTGTCTGCCTCCGTTCCGAAAAAGGAAGCCCACGAGATCTTAACCTAGCCCAAGGTTTGGGCAGAAAGGAGCAGAATCTCT